TCCTAGTTCGTTCATACACAGTTCCCAATACGTTCAGCTCGTCTTTACCCAGTCCAAGCCTGCGGTAGTCGTGTTAAAACCTGTTCGTAACTAGTCCTTTCCCGTTAGTCTTTTCCCGTAACTGGTTCTAACTAGTTTGTAACTCAACCACCTCGTTCGTAGTGCGCTCGAGCGCGCTCCTAATGTGTGTGCAATTCCGTCATGGCTCGAGGACTACAAAAACCCAGCGTTCTTGCCAGTCAGCGTTCGCCCCCAAGTCTTCAAGCTGTGCATATCAATACATTAAAAACACATTGTACTATAGTTGCTTTCTGTAGTACATCATGCCTCCAAAGAGAAGTGCCAGAAGGACAGTCCGTGGGAAAACATCCACTAATACTGTCTGAAGATCCCCGATCTCCAGCTTCTCTAAAGGCCAGCGAAATCAGGCCGAAGTTGTGGAGCCTCATTAGTCTGTCCCTGGACTCTGTACAGCCTCACGCTTTGCCTGAAGACACCAGTCGGCAAGAAGAGGGCACGGTAGAAAGGGCCAAGGCCAATGACATCCTCTATAACCTATGAAAAAGCAAGGCAACACGGTGAACAAGCAAATGTCACGTTGTAACACGTCTCTAGTAGGATCGAAGTACGATAATTCCGTTCGTAGTACATCCATATCGTTATAAGTGCGTTGTCATTCCGTCTAAATTCAGGACGGGGAAAATTCTGAACAGATTCAAAGTTCTAGAACTCCCTTCCCGTCCAAGGCAGTCCATGAAGTTCTTAAACAGATAGTAAACAGTCTCTACTAAGACCACTCTGTTCGCATACAGTTTGAGCCTTTTTGGCAACATTTTCCAGAATGTAGCGAGAATAAGTTCCATGTGATGTTGGATGTAGCAAAGATATATTTGAACGGTTTTCAAAATCAAATAAATATTGTGGCCTCTAGAGGGCCCACAAGTTAAAAGCGCAATATTTCGTACAATCAGGGGCATTGTTCTTTGGATTAAGTTAAAAAATACAACCCATCTGAGATCTTTGGTATATAAATATGTATTTTAAGTTTCCTCAAAATGGGTTAAAATTGTGACCTGTAGTGTGTCTACAAATAAAGGCAAACGGATATGGACTGACAGGGGTGACCACATAATACATCAACATGAAAAAGTGAGCGTATAAAATTTATAATTGAGTTATTTTATATCTGCATTATATGTTGTGGTATGCTGTAAAATGCTTCCCCTTTCTGAACACATTTTCACAATCATGGACAGGAATAAGATAATTTTAAAGAGACATTATCATTAAATGCAGTAAACTTGGTGTATGGGAAATACTAAATGGTGGTTAGGTACCATAAAACATTGAATTGGAAAACTTACACGCCGAAAACAAAGTATTAAATAATTACACACCAAACGCTTAATCTTACAAACAAACTACTATTCAAAAAAAGTAGGGGATATTTGATTTTTAAGTGTTATTAAAGTCACCTAATGAAACTGATGAAGAAACAAATGACAAAATGAAATGAAGTTCACATTCATCGATTTATTCCAAATGATCGTTAGACTAAGTAAGGCACAGACTGACCATTATAAGGGTAAAATGATACCCGGGGTCAAACAGCAAAGTTACCACAGCATCACAACCAAGTCAGTAACGGGTAAATCCTCCTCTGTTTGCCAAACAAGCATTGATCCGACGTGGCATACTCCTAATGAGACGTCTAAGGTTATTTTGGTCCAGATTGTCCCATTCCTGTTGCAACGCAGCAGCAAGTTCTTGGACATTGGCAGGACGTTGTTGACGTTGACGTAACCTCTGTCCAAGCATGTCCCAGACATGCTCGATGGGGGAGAGGTCGGGACTCAGTGCTGGCCAAGGTGATGTTCTGTTGTTGGAGGTAACCTGTAACGATCCTGGCCCTGTGACATCTTGCGTTGTCATCCTGGAAGATGAAACGGCGGCCATGACGTCGTGCGAACGGAACAACATGGACTGCCAAGATGTTGTCCCGGTAGTACTGGCCTGTAACACGCCCTGCAACATGTAAAGCCGTTCTTCCAGCAACAGTGATGCCTCCCCACACCATAACAGAACCACCCCCAAATCGATCATGTCTGATGACGTTAACGTCTTGGAAGCGCTCGTTTCGACGACGCCACACCCTCCTACGTCTGTCCAAAAAATCAACAGTGAACCTTGACTCATCTGAAAACATCACATTGCTCCAGCGTCGATTATCCCAGTGTTGACGATCCCTACACCAACGACGTCTTGCCTGAATGTGATGATCTCTCAAACAAGGGATCACGCGAGGACGTCGGGCGCGAAGGTGACCCCTATGCAGTCGATTCCGAATCGTCTGGCCACTCACTCTCACACCAGTGTCTGTTTGAAGACGAGCGCTGATCTGATTTGCTGTGATGACACGATTTCTCAAGGCCAAGGTACGGATAAATCGATCCTGGGCTTGAGTTGTCGCCCTTGGTCGACCTGAGCGTGGTCTGTCCTGTACAGATTGTGTATCACGGTATCTGGACCATAGCCTGCTTATGACAGACTGAGAAACATTCATCGTCCGCGCCACAACCGCCTGTGTTGTGCCGATCTGTAGCATGCCAAGGGCACGTAACCTTTCATTTTGGGTAAGCCGACGCATATCAAAATTTGTTTTCTGGTCACTAAAACAATTAAACTGATGTTTCCACCCTGGAATTCAATGCCACAATGACTGTAACATTCAAAGTCAGAGTCGTGCAAATCTTGGGTTGGACCCCCTTGATGATCCCAAGCATCACCTGCATTCCATGCGGTAGCTATTGGTGCGTTTGGGCGTCACATGTAACTGGAAATGTTTCTTCTGTTAGGTTCTATAGTGACTTTTTTCGTAGTCATTTGCATATTTTAGTATTATGCCCTCAAAATCAAATATCCCCTACTTTTTTTGAATAGTATATATAGGTTAATTATGATTTTTCAGATGAAAAATTAAAGGAGCTAAACCTGTAACTCAATATTTTCCATAATATTCTAAATTAAAAACACGAATTAGAATTTAATATGGGTCCATTTAAATTAATATTGATTTTGTTATCTCGCCGTTAAAAATATAAGACCCTAATATCCAATGTCCAGGACACAATGAACATTATAAAATCTGTACACTATGGTTTCGGGTGCAATTTGCAATGAAAAATATCCTACAGGGCAATGCGGTAGTAATGGGTGGTTCAAAAACGACAAAATAATAATTTTGACAAACGTGTAGAATGGACTGAGCAGGCGGAAACAACTGTCGTTCAATTTGGACAGTTCAAGTATTTCACCTAACATAATAAGAATTTAAAAATTGAACATAAATCACTTCATTCACAATCATATTACATTAATATTAAAATATGTGCTTATAGTACCATTTTCGACTATTTTAAGCCATACGCCCTTTGAATTAAATGATTATAATTTATATATCATGGATAATTTAAGGGAACTTATGGTGGTGGCTCCAACTGACATGATATCATTTCAATCACAGCAAGTTTAGCAAACTAGCAGCCCTCTCTTCCAAAATTTTTCTATCAAATTTTCCATTTCGATTAACACGGAAAGATTCCATTTGGAGAAAGTGCTTGGGGCAGGCCGTTTCATCATTCGAATTATGCCTGTTAAATGTCTTCCGGCAATAATCCTTTACTTTTTGGGGACGAACGTCGGATCCTTTTTCGGGAATAAAGCATGCACAGATCTCATTTAATAAAGCTTCATCTGGAACTTTAATAACCAGGACCTCGGCTACTCCTGGACATCCCCCGATAATATTCTCAATCCAAGATGGATGGAAATAATTCAGCCCTCGCTCGTTTCGACGACGCCACACCCTCCTACGTCTGTCCAAAAAATCAACAGTGAACCTTGACTCATCTGAAAACATCACATTGCTCCAGCGTCGATTATCCCAGTGTTGACGATCCCTACACCAACGACGTCTTGCCTGAATGTGATGATCTCTCAAACAAGGGATCACGCGAGGACGTCGGGCGCGAAGGTGACCCCTATGCAGTCGATTCCGAATCGTCTGGCCACTCACTCTCACACCAGTGTCTGTTTGAAGACGAGCGCTGATCTGATTTGCTGTGATGACACGATTTCTCAAGGCCAAGGTACGGATAAATCGATCCTGGGCTTGAGTTGTCGCCCTTGGTCGACCTGAGCGTGGTCTGTCCTGTACAGATTGTGTATCACGGTATCTGGACCATAGCCTGCTTATGACAGACTGAGAAACATTCATCGTCCGCGCCACAACCGCCTGTGTTGTGCCGATCTGTAGCATGCCAAGGGCACGTAACCTTTCATTTTGGGTAAGCCGACGCATATCAAAATTTGTTTTCTGGTCACTAAAACAATTAAACTGATGTTTCCACCCTGGAATTCAATGCCACAATGACTGTAACATTCAAAGTCAGAGTCGTGCAAATCTTGGGTTGGACCCCCTTGATGATCCCAAGCATCACCTGCATTCCATGCGGTAGCTATTGGTGCGTTTGGGCGTCACATGTAACTGGAAATGTTTCTTCTGTTAGGTTCTATAGTGACTTTTTTCGTAGTCATTTGCATATTTTAGTATTATGCCCTCAAAATCAAATATCCCCTACTTTTTTTGAATAGTATATATAGGTTAATTATGATTTTTCAGATGAAAAATTAAAGGAGCTAAACCTGTAACTCAATATTTTCCATAATATTCTAAATTAAAAACACGAATTAGAATTTAATATGGGTCCATTTAAATTAATATTGATTTTGTTATCTCGCCGTTAAAAATATAAGACCCTAATATCCAATGTCCAGGACACAATGAACATTATAAAATCTGTACACTATGGTTTCGGGTGCAATTTGCAATGAAAAATATCCTACAGGGCAATGCGGTAGTAATGGGTGGTTCAAAAACGACAAAATAATAATTTTGACAAACGTGTAGAATGGACTGAGCAGGCGGAAACAACTGTCGTTCAATTTGGACAGTTCAAGTATTTCACCTAACATAATAAGAATTTAAAAATTGAACATAAATCACTTCATTCACAATCATATTACATTAATATTAAAATATGTGCTTATAGTACCATTTTCGACTATTTTAAGCCATACGCCCTTTGAATTAAATGATTATAATTTATATATCATGGATAATTTAAGGGAACTTATGGTGGTGGCTCCAACTGACATGATATCATTTCAATCACAGCAAGTTTAGCAAACTAGCAGCCCTCTCTTCCAAAATTTTTCTATCAAATTTTCCATTTCGATTAACACGGAAAGATTCCATTTGGAGAAAGTGCTTGGGGCAGGCCGTTTCATCATTCGAATTATGCCTGTTAAATGTCTTCCGGCAATAATCCTTTACTTTTTGGGGACGAACGTCGGATCCTTTTTCGGGAATAAAGCATGCACAGATCTCATTTAATAAAGCTTCATCTGGAACTTTAATAACCAGGACCTCGGCTACTCCTGGACATCCCCCGATAATATTCTCAATCCAAGATGGATGGAAATAATTCAGCCCTCGCATAATAACGTCATCAAACCGCCCCTGCACGATTAGCTCTCCCTTCTCTGTAAGACACCCATAGTCTTGAGTAAGAAACCAACCATCGTCCGTAAACCTTGACTTCATCAGCTCTTCTTCGTCTCCAACATAACGTCTACAGACGTCAGGTGCTTTGACCAAAACTTGTCCATAAGTCCCAGTAGGGACGCCTATCAAATCTTCACCAACTATCTTCACACTTACCATTTCCATTAGCGATCCAGTAATAAAATCCTCGAATCCGGATTCTTGGTCTATTTTCTTAAGACTCACTAGCCCAACTTCTGTACTGCCATACATATTATATACTGCCTTAACTAGCGCGCCGACAACCGTCATTATGTTCTTTTTCGGTTGTTGACCAGCAAGTAATGCCGTTTTCAAAGGCCACGGGGCCTGACAACCCGACTCACTTTGAATTAGCTCTGTCAACGCTAGGCAGGTTACTGCTGACAATTTAGCAGTTTGACAATTTTCCTGTACAATGATATCTCTAACAAACCGAATATCAAGTTCTTGCTCTGATTTAAACCTCCGGTCCAATAAGATTGTTCTGTCCCCGGACATTGTGTACCAGAAGAGTAATCCACGTGCCCATGTGATGCTGTTCTACCGAAGAATGCGTGGTTAAACGGGGTTAATTTGGATACACCAGTTGTACCCGAAGTTTGCATGATAACTGCAACATCATCGGTACTAATGGTAAGGTCTTCAATAATAGAATTACCCGTGAGTTCTACCCCGTCTTGCCAGATGAATCCTAGTTCAAGGTCAAGATCCAAGTTTGTATAGATGACATTCATTAAATGAGGCAACTGTTCCGATGTAATGTAATTCCCAGAGACGGTATCAAAGTGTTGAGATATGATTCGATTAGCTTTGTCATCAGGACTCGACGACATAATTATTGTTTGACATTTGGACTTTCGCAAATTTTGTAGAAGATTTTTTCCATCAGTCAATGGTGTAGTTGCGTTTTGGGCAGTACAACCGGCACAAATGATTCCAAAGAAGGCGACCAAAGCTGCGGGAGAATCTGGAATCAAGATACAAACAACACTGCCTGGTTGTACTCCAATCTTAGAAAAACGACGCCCAAACTGCACAGAGAGGTCGTAAATTTCTTTTGATGTTAGAACAGCGCTGGGTTTATCTTTAGCAACGTAAACAAAAGCCTGTGAGTCTGGTTGTTTGTTGGCCCAGTATTTTAAACGCTTTGGTATGGTGTAATCTGCTTTAAGCGACTCATCATAAATAACCTACAAACATAAAATAGATCGTTGAGTTGGTGATAAAGGGTAGCTCCCCGCACTTATGGGAAGTGGGTTCAAAATGCTCCAGCAAAAGTAAGCATACTTTGATTTGCACATAACAGTTGATAGTTTGGAAACGGTTGCATTCATTGATTATTAAAATATTATTATTCGAATATTTGGAGGGACAATTAAATAGAGTTCACAAGGCTATTCTGACATAACGCAACTAATTTGTGAACAATTACGAATCTAGTTAAAGTTAGAAATCTAATTCGGGATCACTGTGGGTAAGGGGGTAAGACGCTGGCTCGCTAGCCAGGAGGTTGGGTGTTCGATCCCTGCATTGGCCGAGAAAGTTAATCCAGATTTTCCGGCGTTGTTCCCCCTTGTCAGTGATGCAGAACGGAGGGGCTTACAAGGACAGCTGTCCAGTCGTTCGGATGGGACGAAAAACCGAGGTCCCATGTACACATCGGCGTACACGTAAAAGATCCCTTAAATATGAATGAATATATGCCCAGTTAAAGTTATTTATATCCTGCAATGTATTCATATCCTGTAACTTCGGGGCCTCTCAAATTTAATCCCACATTTTCTACAACCGGCCGTGCCTTTGTTACCCACCTTTAGACAATAGGGGGTTTTGATATTGGTGAGGCCACTGGATTCTCTCGACATGTTCCATTTGTCATACTGGCAAGTGAACTGTTGCATAGTGATTCACATTCCTCTAACAATAAATAGGCTTACAGACAACTGATGGGGGTGATCCAGTAGACGTGGTACAAGGGTTAATCAGCGAACTGGATGTATGAGATGTGTTGTTGACGTTTGGGAAAGTAGGACGAGGGGAAATGTGTAGGGAGTGAAGTGCTGTAAAGGGATAGTTAGATGTATTATGAATGGTTAGAGTGGCTGTGGTGTTACGGTGAAATACTATGCCGCCACCGTAACACCACCGCTTTATGATTTGTTAGACAGGAGTGATGTAATGGGTGTCAACAACTGGGTATGCTGGTACCGTCGCAACGTAGCCGTGAAATATATATTGTGGGGGGGGGAAGGGCGGAAACGGAAAAATATACAATGTTTACAGTATGTGCCAGGCATGAGGCTGCGCAGACCGAGCGGCAGCTCGATAGGGAGTGTGTGGGAGGGTCACCCTCATAAAAAATTTTTTTTTTAAATTTCAGTTTTCTGTAAGCAGTGAAAACACTATTTTGGCATTGTTTGCGGGGTTAAACCTAAAAATCACATTAATACACCTATTGCACGATATTGTGAAACTAGCTGACGAAGACAGCTCGGGCGGCGATTGTTGGACTCGGGGCTGCTCTGTCAGTATCTAACAAACGCATTTAGTTCGCGTACAACTTTTAAAAACCGAATGTCAGTATGGTATTTCTCACATAATTGGTTATCGCAAAAACAGAGTAAACTGAAAGCGAGTAATCTCGACTCAAACCTATAGTCTATAGCCTACTTACTACACTCGTCACTAGGCTTCCTATATTATTGTTTGTGGACGGTTTACTAGTCAGTGATAAGCCTGCGCCGCAAAAAGAGGTCTCGCCTTTTATTATTAGTATAATGACTTCCTCATGTGCGGCAGGTTAGTTTGCTTCTAAAAACACTGTTTTCCGTTCCAAAAAATACAAAAGTAATTTTCTACCAGATGACCATGGTTCTTTTCACCGAGACTAGATAATTTCTCTCGGTGTAAGGATATAGCTATGGATAAGTTCATACAAGGTCAATAAATCCGCGGTCACTTCGGGTCACACTGTTGAGAAAATAAACCGATGGGTTTGTTTAGTAGCAAATCGAGCGTGAATCAACTGAGTTTGTACTGAAAAATTTTTGAGTGATATGTATGTTAAAAGAAAAAGAAATAGTACCTGTGCGCATGCCAGTAAAAAATAAACTAAGAGTTCGGCATAAAAATGCCCGAACGTACCAGGCGCCAGGTCATCCAGTCATATTTTATATGCTACGGTAGCGTAAATATAATTAGATCTATCAATACAAAATGTGTAATCGAGTTGTAAAATACCAGTCATATTTTATCCAAAGGTACTTACTAGATATGTTGTGATGTTGACTGAAAAAAAACCTTCGTGATATAACATTATTAAATGCAACTCTTTGTATATAGGTGACGGGGTTCGTGACATTACATACTCAGCATCTTTGTGATACGCAATGACCTTCATGGTTCATCTATTACCCCTAATTTTTAAACATTGTTTACGGTTTTTACTCATATATATACAACATACACACTATACTAATTTATTAACGATATATAACTGCTATGTCTTAAACATTCCATACATTCCTTTGCTCAGTTATGCTCAGTTAACTACAAGTTTATATTACAACATTTACCAACGGTATTTACACGTCATAATATATTAGCTCATTTACCTATGTTTACTATGGTGGCTGATTGGTGTCATGTCGTGATGTCGTGGTGTCGCCCTTCATAAGGCGACAACCCGACATCACGACATTTTAACCCGACAGTGCGAAAACCCGACAAAAATGTCGTAATATCGCGTAAAAATGTCGTATTGTCGGGTTAAAATGTCGCGATATCGGGTTATCGGCCATCTTCCCCTCAATACTATTTTGCAGCGCGGTTTCTCCACGCTGGTAGTGCAGGACAAAGGGCCTGGCAAAGAACAGTGTCTAGTATTGTAGATAGGACAAAAAAACAACCTCCTGTGTAAACATGTGCGTGCGCTTGAAAGAATTCTTCACAGTTGAAATTCGATGAAGAATTAAATGCCACGGTCCATTGGAAATTTCCGTCATATCACTCTGCATAGCGTATGCCTATCTTCAATAGTCCGATTGGTTCGTTATAGTAGGAAAATGAGATGAAATGGGGTTGAACCTCCAACGGTTCTGCTCCGGGAGCCACACTGGCTCGCTAGCCTGGACGTCGCGGGTTCGCCCCCGGTGTTGGCCGAGAAGGTTCATCGGATGGGACGAAACACCGAGGTCCCGTGGAAACATTGGCGTGCACGTAAAAGATCCCTTGGCAATTGGAATTCGATATAAGAGTAGGCCGTAGCGCCGCTGTCCGGGCAAAATGTCCCTCATAACACACTGAATGGTGTAAGCCCGTCTTATTAGCCCAGTCGGAGCAGAACAATAGGACGTTGAACTCCATTTCATTTCGTTCTGCTCCGACTGGCCTAATGAAGACGGACATACCCTATACAGTGTACTATGAGGGAAACTTTAACCGCATAGCAGCGCTACGGCCTACTCTTATATTGAATTCCAACTGCCAGGAGGTCTTTTACGTGCACGCCAATATGTAAATGGGGCCTCGGTTTTTCGTCCCATCCGAACGACTATACGTTATCCCTTGCCCGACTCGCCTCCTGCACCACTGTCAAATAGGAATCACTCCCGAAATGGGGTTTAATGTCCTACTTTTCTGGTAGTCAGGGTGACTTAGTGAGTAAGACGTTGGCTCGCTAACGTTGAGATCTCGTGTTCGATCACTGCGTTGGCCGAGAAAACTCATATTTTACCATTGGTACACCAATGCGCTTCAACGCCGTTTGCAACAAGGGACTCGAAGAACGATGCTAGACATATTCCACAAGTCATGTCAAACGGTCTTATCTGGAGAGCATGCGCAATAAATACTTTCCGTATAGACTGGAATAACCAGTCGCTAGAGATTGCCATTCAATGGAGACTTCTGGCGTATTTCGCCGAACATAACTGATGAAAAACAAAAACGATTGAATGTAAATCAGTTTATATACATTCATATTGCATTATTATATGCGTTCCGACCCATTTGTGTCAATTTCTAGGTATTCAATATTAGCGATGTAGTATTGTCCCATGCCTTCATTATATTTTAATCCCATTCACAATAAATATTGCCACTACCTACATGTTTATTTCTGACGACACGACGCTGTCCATGGTGGTTACGTTGGACAAAGGGCAGACCTTTATTACAACAGTAAGTTTAAATATACACAGAAACATTTAGGTATAGTTTTCCAGATGAAAGATTATGGTAAACTATTATAACCATTAAGGGTACTTATCGTGGTGGCTTCATCTAATTTGATATATACTCTTCAAAAAAAGAAAGGGATATTGAAATGTAAATACCTATGCATGTTGCGATATGATAAATAGTCATGGACATTTGGCATGCTTTGAGAGTATGTTCACAGATGAAGAACTTATCGCCCCAACAGAACCACTGAGCTGCACATGCGACACGCAATAACGCCATACACGTTGGAGGCGTTATTTGTCAAATTTGACACTTCAAGAAAGAGTTGATGAAAACTGCCGCGTGCTGATTTATCTATCCATGTCTGCTTTCCTATCGGTTCTTGTATAAGATTTACTGTTTAGCGTATCTTTGCTTTAGTGTGTTACGTTCAATTTGATCGGGAGACGTGTTCGTCGACGTCAACGTTAACCGACAACACTGCAAGAGGAGTCGGTCAGATTGCCCCAAATCGTGATTGGACGGTTGATTAGGAGCATACCACGACGAATTGCTGAATGTCTGAGAATTGGTGGAGCAATTACTCATTATTAAGACAAAAATCAAAAAGTCCATTTTCACTTTTGACGGTGTATCTCTTTGCGAGTGAAATGGGGCCGTCAGATAAGCCGCCCATATGAACTGTTTATGTCCATGTGTAGGCAATTGGCCTGCTATTAACATACACTGGTAACCTCTAATAAAAACAGCAGTGAATTTCCGCAATTTTGTATTGTTTCTGAATATCCCCTATTTTTTTTTTTTTTTTTTTTTTGAAGAGTATATTATCCATCACAATACGTTTAGCATATATAGGTATAATTTTCCAGATAAACGATTAACGTAAATTATTAGAACCATTAACGTGGTGGCTCCATCTGATTTGATATATTATCCACCATAATACGTTTAGCATATACAGGTATAATTTTCCAGATAAACGATTAACGTAAATAATTAGAACCATTAACGTAAATTATTATAATTTATTTATCAGAATAATTTAGGGGAACTTATTGTGGTGGCCCCATCTGACTTGATATCTTTTCAATCACAGCAAGTTAAGCAATTTAGCAGCCTTCTCTTCCAAAACCTTTCTGTCAAATTTTTCGTTTTTATTTACAGGGTAAGCATCCGTTTGCAGAAAGTACTTAGGACAGGCTGTTTTAGCATTCGAATCATGACTGACAAATGTCTTCCTGCAAAAATTCTTTACGTCCTGGGGGCAAGTATCGGAACCCTTTTCAGGAATATAGCAGGCACAAATCTCATTTAATAAGGCTTCATCTGGAACTTTAACAACCCGGACATCGGCTACTCCTGGGCATCCTCCAATAATATTCTCAATCCAAGATGGGTGGAAATAATTCATCCCTCTCATAATAACGTCATCAAACCGCCCCTGTACAATTAACTCTCCCTTCTCTGTAAAACATCCGTAGTCATTAGTAAGAAACCAACCATCATCTGTAAACTTCGACTTCATCAGATCATCTTCGTCACCAACATAACGTTTACAGATGCCAGGTTTATTAACCAAAATCTGTCCATAAGTCCCGTTAGGAACTTCCTTTAAATCTTCATCGACTATCTTCACACTGACCATTTCCATTAGCGATCCGGTATTAAAATCCTCGAATCCGGATCCTTGGTCAATTTTCTTTATACTCACGAGCCCCCAATTTCTGAACTGCCATACATATTATATACTGTCTTAGTTAGCGGGCCGACAACCGTCAATATATTCTCTTTTAGCGGTTGACCAGCAAGTAATACCGTATTCAAAGGACTTGTAACGTGACCAAACGATTCTCTTTGAATTAACTCTGTCAACTCTAGACAAGATGCCGCTGATAATTTAGCAATCTGACAATTTTCCTGCACAATGATATCTCTAACAAACCGAATATCAAGACCTTCATCCGAGTTAAACCTCCGATCCAACAAGATTGTTCTGTCCCCCGACAAAGTGTACCAGAATGGTAATCCCGTGGCCCAGGTCATGCTGTGCTGGTCAAAAAGCGAAATGCGCGAGCCAAGAGCATGTAGCGATTCTGATAAAGATTAAAAGCCTATTTCAATACTACCAAAACATGTGTGGTCTAACGGAATTAATTTGGATACACCAGTTGTACCCGAAGTTTGTATGATAACCGCAACATCATCGGCACTGACAGTAACTTCTTCAATATTAGAATTATCTGTGAGTTCAACCCCTGCGTCTGCTTGCCAGATGAATCCTAGTTCAGTGCCAAGATTCAAGTTTGTGTAGATGACGTTCTTCAAGTGAGGAAACTTTTTTGAGGTCACGTTATTCCCCGAGACGGTATCAAAGTATTGAGATATGATTCGATTAGCTTGGTCATCAGGAGTCGAGGATAAAATTATAGCCCGGCATTTTGACTTGTGGAGATTTTGTAGAAGATATGTTCCATCCGACATTTGGATGGTTGCGTTCTGGATAGTACAACCAGCACACAGGATTCCAAAGTAGGCGATCATAGCTGCAGGGGAGTCTGGAATCAAGCTACAAACAACACTGCCTGGTTCTACACCAAGCTTAGACAAACGACGGCCAAACTGCACAGCGAGGTCGTAAATTTCTTTTGATGTTAGAACAGCCTTGGGTTTATCTTTAGCAACATAAACAAAAGCCTGTGAGTCTGGTTGTTTGTTGGCCCAGTATTTTAGTCGTTTTGGTATGGTGTAATTTCCTTGAAGAGACTCCATCATATATAACCTACAATCATAACATAGACCACTGAACCTTGTGAAAATGGTTAGCTCATTCCAACATCCAAACAAATGAGAAATGGTTTCATAATATTTTAGAAAGTGTAAGCGTTGTACATAACACCTGCAACTTTATAGACATTAATGGATTGATAGTTTGGAAACGGATGTGCTCAATAAACCCATACAATGACTATCAGTATTATTTGAATATAAGGAAGAGGGAATTGAGTTCACAAGCAAATTCTGGTATAATTCGACTAGTTCAGGGTCAATCACTTAGAGAGTGAATCAATTTAAAATAAAGACATCGAGTTCACGCAATAATTTCGCAAATACCAATATGATGAAAAGTGTACACTCTACTGCGTATGGGATAGCATGCCATTGGGATTATGGACAACTGGTCCCATTTTATATGCTACAGTATAAATAATTGGATCTTTAAATACACAATTTACTATGGACATTTTTTTAGCTTAACTCGTGCAAGGTTATCAGCACTTCATTTAATCCAAAGATACTTGCCTAGGTATGTTTTGATGTTGACTGAACAAATTCTTCGTCACAATATCTCATTAAAGAATTTTTTTTATTTTATATATAACTGGCTCGTGACCATACATAGGCTACCCAAGGCGAACGGTTCACGGTATCTTTTGAGACCAATTTATTACATGCTTCCAGAATTAATAACAAAACACCCATACTTGCGCCATGAATAATTTATAAATTTACTAACGGTATTCAACTCCTATGTCATAAACATCCCGTACATGCCCTACATAAATTACATACTTGTTAACCCTACATGCGGGAGCCACGGTGGGTCCGTGGGTAGGACGTTGGCTCTCCAACCTGGAGGTCCCGTGTTTGATCCTTGTGTTGGCCGAGAAAGTTCATCGGCGTAAAACGTTTGGATCGGGCAAGGAACAACGTATAATCTTTCGGGTGGGCGAAAAACCGACCCTGGAAAATATTACTGTAAAATATTACTGAGAACATAGAACATTTAGGTTTCACTAAATAAAATGAAATGAAATGGGGTTTAACGTCCTGCTGTTCTACTCCTTCTGGGCGTCACTACTATAAATATAAGAAAGTTGGATACGATCCTTTCATTGCCACGTGGAAATACAGTATAGCTATTTTTGAACAAACGATAGTCATATACAGCAGTTTGTCCGAAAGGAAAACTTGAATGTTCACCAAATTTAATCAGGATCCTTTATGCCTTCAAGTAATCCGGCCCCCGTCGTGTTCACAAGCTTTAAAACTATAGCACATACAGCGCTAACAGTGTTTTTGGAAAAGACAGGTACTTGCGTAACTCCAAAACGGAGGTTCAAGGAACGCTGAATATAGCTATGGTGTTTTCTATCATAAATCCAAAGCTATCTTTTCGGAGAGTCTCTTCTCCGTTACCGATTTTTATTTTAACATGACGCGTGGCTATTTTGTTGGTCGTGTAATTGATATTTTGCAACGTCAACACAAGCCTTGATGGACTGAATGACATTTTATATTTTTAGTGCAAAATTACTATTGGTTGACATACTCTTTAACAACCAATCAATTAAAGCTCACAGGTAACAAATTAAAACGATGCCAATCCGAGCCATAAATATTTTTATACATAAAAATGTATGAGTGACAACCGTATGTTTTATGGTTTAATACATTAGTGTTGGACTAAGTATATCGAACGGAGTTCTGTTTTTCCTCCATAGCTTTTTACCACACTTTTCTATACACGCCTGTCTAATTAAGACGGGCATACGTTATGCAATGTGCTATGAGCGAAATTTTACCCGAGCGGTAATTCATCGAATTCAAATTGCACAGCTTCATTTATACGATTGCCACCAAATACAGATGTATTTCGTCCCATCCAAATGACTAGACTTTTTATCATTGTCTTTGACTGAAGGGAACTTCATCATGTATATAGAAGATCCAGATTGCGTGCAGTTCACTCGGCTTCTGTGTCCACTTGAGTTAAGTTACTGAATTCGGCAGGGGGACGAGAAGATTTCAGCTTAAGGAGTAGACCAGGGTCCGTATTGTCTATTGGCCTAGCCTTTAGTTATGCGCGTAGGGTCTTTAGAGTGGGAGGAAACTGGAGGACCCGGAGAAAACCCACGAGGTTGGACAGGCGGCCTTATTCATTGTCACATAGAACCGGGGAATCGAAACCACGCCAGTTGACTCAATGACAGACCTCATGATACAGCGCGCACGTGCTAAACATTCAGCCATCCAACCCCGCGAGTAGACCAGACCATATTGTCTATCGGCCAAGCCTTTATGCACCGTGCGAGTACTGTGTGATTATGTCATATATCCTATGTAAATAACGTTTATATGTACAATGCTGGTCGTCTATTTAAAATAAAATGTGTTCATTTTCTGTAGAAAAGAAATCTCACAAAATGTTACAATTCAACCGAATTATTTTATTTAAGAGGGGTTGAAAATGTTGACAGTTGAAAAGTTTTTTGGTGGAAAAGGAACATTTCAAAGCATCTTGATCATGTTGAAAGAAAGTTTATCACACAATTTAAAGTTAAAAACTTAAAGGAATTCTCAGTTTGCAAAGAGTTTTTAATAAATTAAACCAGTCTTTCAAGACTATCAATTGGATTGTCCATATAAGCCCACATAGCTCCCACATTATTTGAAGTATGTTCATATGTCTTTATTGGAAAAGGTTCAATTATTATTCGACGTTTTTCCCTTTATCACATTTTGTTCTCAACCTACTCATTCTGCGAATACCATACCATTGGTCTCACCTGATCACTATCACAAAGAATCAAGACATAGCTACGTTATCCATAACGGTCATTTGTTGCTGACTTGGACTGCTTGACTTTGGTTTCTTTTGCCGTCTTCGTTTCCACCATTCCATAATAAAAAGCGCCACAAATTCGACCAGCTCGGTTACCGAAAGTATACTAGCTCCAAGAAACAAGCCCATATGTCCTCCCAGGTCAGCTGAAATATGAATAACAATTTCATTTGAGAAACCCTCAAATGTGTAGTACAATATTCCACAAGATTTTTGACACCACAGGAAAATCCACACAAAAACCCCAAGTCACTTGTCATACTGTCATCAAGTCCACGCGATCTATCATATTGCGAGGATCCACACCTCAATTCGCGCTCCCTCTCTAACATTAGGCTGACTAAAATTTCGGAATATAATAATTCAGAAAATATTGATATTAATAATTAAGACGACAATGACTTTTAATCTATAATGACTACAAAATAGGAGCTGCGTTAATATTGGTAGCAATGCTTCTCTTGAAATATCTGGTAAGATATAATTGGGAATTATTAATCTTATGAGATATTTCATTTTTTAGATATTTTGAATATGCACTATTTTCCAATCGATGGTTATATATTTGAGGGTTCTACTTTCTGGGGAATGTATTAAATACAACTGAATCGTAGTGAAGATTAATAGAAATGATATTACCCAATATCCCCTGTACCGTCAACTCTGGTATCTGTTCTGTTTTGGTAACTGTCAAGGTATCGTAGAATATCCTCAAATCAATCATATTATTCCTATAATTGTAAATATAAGGTAAATATCGAATTTTCCAGAAAGATTCTTAAAAAATACGTAATACGCGTATACGTCACTTTGCATTAACCACCATGAATGAAATAATCAGACACGATCCAGTCCTTTAAATGAGTTAAGTCTCTGACTCAATATCGTCTACAGTCTTCGACATTATAAACAAGACTTATTGTTGCAACATGGGCCTTCTGTCAGACGTGAAGAGCGGGGGAACCAAATCCGGTCGCCACATCCTACGTACGACCCATGCATCTTTTCTTACTACATATCTTAGTAGCCTTGTGATCGTCTTTGCATTCCCTTCACGTTGTGTATTTTCTTCTTATTGTTTTCCCAGATAGTTATAACAATGCAACAGTTCGTTTTTACATTTTATATATCATGGCTGCTTACATATGATACAAGCATAGTATAGATTACAATACTAAAGTGATTCTCAAACACTAGCCAGCAAGGCTCGCTGGGTGAGTCTGCTTATATAAACTGATGCATCTTTTCGTTTCAAGAACCTGTCTGCTGTCTGACGAATTCTCACAAGTATGATAGTTTTGTAGCTTTGGATTTTGGACCTTCAATTATCTAATTGGTCAAATATGATGTAATAAGTATAGAGATTGGTTAAACAAGCCAAATGATTCAATCGTAAATTTCCTATCACGTGTAATACATGATATTCTTATTCCCACAGAACCAGTTAATGTTTACAAAATTATAACTCTTTTTAATGTAACCATCTGTCACTCATTCGCTAACTTGATTTAAGTACAAATATGTGAATCTACTAACTTGCCAGAGTTATTAATTCATACCATATAATACTATCCTTAATTTAAAGAGCAACAATTCTAGCAAAAGTCTTACATTATTTGTCAATTTAAATCAAAATTGATGTTGTTATCTTATCTTGAAAAGATGGGCTTCTGGTATCCAATATTTAAGACAAAATGAAAGACGCATCGTGTGCCAGAATGCTTTCGAGCGCAATTTGTAATGAAGCGATTCGATGAACGAGGCTAAACATAATCCACAGGAGAATACTACCCGTGTAAACTGGAATAACCAGACGCAAAAGACTGCCATTCAATTTGGAATCTTCGTGTATTTCGCCGAACTACAGAAATTACAGTAAAAACAGAAACGATAGATAGAATGTTAATCAATTTATATACATCATATAGCATTATTATATGCGTTGCGACCCATTTGTGTCCATTTCTAGGTGCCAAAGAATAGCGATGTAGCTCCTCTAAAATCGCTGACGCATTCACATTAAATTTTATGGGCGTTATCGTTTTTCTAAAAACAGGAAGCGCGCTTAGATTTCTCAAAAATTATTCCGCCACGTTAAAGAGTTCCGAAAGCTGGTTCCCGCATCATCTAGAGGCTGTGAGCAACAACTATACAGTACACCATAAGCCTAAAATACAGATATAGTTTGGACAATCTAAGCATCACTCTTGCCAACCGAATAGGGTGCTCCTAACAATTGCTAAGACTTATAAACTTCCAAGTGTGCGTAACGCTTACAAACATTTAGGTACTATCTGGATTATAGTTTCTCGAATTACTGGTATGTAAACGCGTAATTAGAAAAATATGAGTTGCCCGGGTGTTATTATTAAACGAACACAACTTGGTAGGATAGTAGTAAATAGCGTATCAAAAAGATGTTGTGGTCTTTTCGCCTCAAGTATGCATGTCACGAACACTTTACCTATATAAAAAAGATGTTGTGGTCCTTTCGTCTCAAGTATATGCTTATTGTCACAAACCCTTTACCTATATAAAAAAAACTTGCATTTAATGGTGTTATGTTACACAAAGTTTAACGTCCACCACACAACACAACCTATGTCATTTCGGGACTACCACATGATACAATACTATTTTAATAAATTGCTTGTGTGTAGAGGACTTTATCAGTAGGAACAATTCACTCAATGACAGATCTTAGGATATTAGGCGCACGCGTTAGACTACCCCCACACACACCGTATATGTTTATTATACTAATATTTACGGTAGAAATAGTTTGTTTACTTTCCAGGCTAGTCTAGATACTTTTCGTTCCAGCTATATACTGATTTTCATTATATTGACCATCTTTTGATGCTTATAGTCTTATTATATCACATTGTACATCCATAAATGATCAGCCCAGATGTTATGTTACAACTGTATAATCGACTTTTGTTTAAACTGTGTATGCTGTCCTTGCTGGATGAAATGATACAATAAAATCTTATCTTATCTTATCTTATCGAATTTCCATTTTGTACGATGGTGGGGGGGGGGGGACTTGTTGAACACTAAATTATTTCTTGACTTCAGTTCAAGAAGACATAATGGAATAGACACAATCCACAAATCTATTAATATGAGCAACGTTTTTTTTTACATGTTAATAAATTAAATATATCATATGCACGAGAGCATTACAAGAATATATGTAGCGTAAAATCAATTTTAACGGTAGAATACGCATGAAGAGGATGTGTGTATGGAGCTGAAAAATCAACCAGGTTGCCCTCTATCATATCCATGTTTTAAAAGTAAAATAGATTGTCTCATACATGATATCAATATTTTAAAGGTAGTACGACTGACATTAAGAGGATAATATATGTATATGGGGCTTAGAAACAACTAGACATTCTCCTATCATACCAGTTTTATAAATAAATGGTACATGTCTTTGAATATGTAATTTTCTTAAAGATATGAAAACTAATGGTCTATATTGGTTAGTCATTTAGCAAGTTGGTGTGAGCGCTCCGGACAAAAGAGACAAATTTTCCGCAAATGCCACCAATTACAATAGCTTTCCGTTTCTGATAGGCACCACTTCCTCCAGATATATTAAGGCTGTCATCTTGGATCTTTAAGATTGCTGGGAGCCACGTTGGCTAAGTGGGTAAGACGTTGGGTATAGCCTGGAGGTCACGTGTTCGATCACTGCATAGGCCGAGAAGTTCATCGTGATTTTCCAACGTGCTTTCAGTTTGTCAAGGACAGCTGTCTAGTCGTTGGGATGGGACGAAAACCGAGATTCCATGTATACATTGGCGTGCCGTTGCCCGGTCAAAATTTCCGTCATGGCACACCGTATGCCCATCTTCATTAGTGCAGTATAGGAGCAGAACAGTAGAATGTTAAACCCCATTTCATTTCATTTTTAAGATTGCTGCTATGTAAAAACCTATATCTACCAATTAGGATCCCAATCTTTATGTCCAAACCTGCATCTGCAAGAAAATTTCGCGAACGCCCGTAACAGTCATCTCAAATTAGCTCCTTAGTTGGCTGATTATGGGTGTAATTATTTATAAACTCCTGTTATTGACTAACATAAATAATGATCTGCACAACTTATGAGTTCTTATATAGCACAAAAATGGGAATTAAATATGTACTGTATAGTGTTTTCCGGACAAATCAGTAAAACCTAAGGAATCGCTCAAAATAGGGGAAAATAAGGAGTGTCTTGGCAGATTGGTATGCCAGTAATAAATATAAATTTCAAGACACAATATCGTAGACACCTAATGTATTTTAATACAGTATGTAACATAGCTGCAGAATGGGTTGTGTTAAGATTCGGATGATATTTTCTGATCCAAATCTCCGTATTGCCATAAACACCTAATGCTTCGAACACAGCAATGTGCAACGTAGGTGCAGAATGTCCTGTGCGCTGATTGGGATTCAATTACATAAAAACCGTGTAAAACAACACTTTTCAGGAGAAAAGTGGCACCGTCGTGTGCTTTAATCCTTTATAATCCGATGGTTGTACTATGACGGATGGTCATCTGCTAAGTTTAGTCCTTAATACCTTATGAACTTTAAACTATACTTTCGAGCTAAATATAATATACGGTTCATCAAGAAACATCCACGCCGCTTATTCTCCCCATTATATTTGGAGTCAAAACTCTATTTAGGGTCTTGTCAAGTCATCTGTGTCACGGCGTATTAGAAAAAAATAAACCAATAATTTTTGTGATGGATTTTCTTGATATTTTGGTGTTTGACACAGTCGCGATCGTTTTTTTGGGGTTTTTTTGGTTTTTTTTACTATTTTACTTCCTTAAAGCATCCTTTCAAAATCGCACAGAACCGATTTCATGGCATGTCAGTAAAACTAAAACGTAGCGTAGTGGGTACGTGTATAGATTACACTAAAAGTCTAAACTATACCTTCCGATACATTGATGACATAACACCCATCAATGATAACGTAAATTTCAACAAATATAAAACTGAAATATATCCTCCTGAACTAATATTAAATAAAGAAAATTCCGGCATGCACTATACATGCATCTGTTCTTGAACTGCACATCAATATAATTAAAAATAAATTTAATGTCGGTATTTTCGACAAAACGGCCAAATTTGGTTTTGAAGTAGTAAAATACCTGTCAATTTATAGTAACATACCAGATACCACGCTATATAGTGTTTTCTTTTCACAGGCATTACGAGTTTTGACAATATGTAACAATAAAGAGCTATTTCTTTCCCGAATAAAATCTCTTTACTTTAAATGCACGAGCTGCCATTTCACGCATTTTAAAAGAAATTTGGAAACTTCCATTTCTTCCACATACGAAGTTTGACATGTCTTATAAGTATATAACTGACTACATATTGGATAATGATCCAATTTAAATTTTATTTTAAATTTTCTGTAGTTACCTAATCCTGTCTGAATTATCCCCCTTATTTTTATACCTTTATAAATACACTTACATAGTACGATTTCTTCAACATAACTGTTTTGCATGTGTGGGGTATTAATATATTACAAATTGTACAATTACATAACTTAATAATTCCGATTAGTCGCTAAACCTAAGAGGTTTTTTTTAAGCTTTTAACGTTATTTTATCTTGTTGATCGCCCTTTTTAATTGGGATTTTTTAGTCACCTACTAAGTTATGGCGTCAATGCCAAAATAACGGCTTTTTTACGTCACGCCATTCAGTCAGCAGACGGCTGTCTTTCGAGACAGTCCACATTCCTATTTGCTTCTTTGTATTCAGTTTGGTTTTGTTTTTGTGACGGATGGAACATGTGTCCTAAATGTATTCAATATACCTCGATTCCATTGAATACTGAAACGTTTCTTGATTGATTTAGAGTATTTAGGTTTAGACTACTTTTTTTTGGTACATTTCACCGATGTGTTTACTTGTATAGTTGAATTTTACTACAATATGCTTACATTCGTATTTCTTGTAGCATATAGCAGATCATAACTAATGCTGGCATTACGCAATGGTTTCTCCGGATCCATTCACTTTTTTTTTTTTTAATTATTTGTTTATTTGTGTTTTTCTGAGTATGATGCCTTGTCCATGTTTTGTTTTTGTGTAAATTGTGTGTGGTGCAGTCCCCCTGCACATACTATTAGTATGTTTTTATGTAACATCCCAGTTTCCCTTTTTAGTCAAAGTGACCTCTGGTTAACGCAGATATACGCCAAAATGACGATAGGGATTATGCATTTCTCAAAAACAAAATAAAACCAAGTACGAACAATCCAAACCATTCGAAGTCCTAAAAAACGGTATAGGCAAAATAATGTAATCAGCACGACAGAAAGTGTCCGGAAGAGTAAGCTTATCCTGCCTAGCGCCACACCCGTCGCCGCGGGAGACCCCCAACCCACCCAACAGCAGATACATTGCCTTAGGAACCTGGCAAACCCCCGCCTGCAAAAGTCCCTGGATCCGCCCCTGCTATTAGAAAAATAAATTCTGGTGCTAACCTTACATAATCTCTGTTAGGTGTCAATCCTGCATCAATCATAAAGTCCATTATAAAACTTGATGCAAAGTCAGCTGATGACAGTTGTGTGTTATAACTGATAGTATGGCATCGACTTGGACAACCCGTGCATTTATGTACCACTTCGTCCATTTTCTTGTCTGGAAACAAAAATCGAAAAAGATTGGGAAAAATAGTTTACTGGGAAATATTTTTTATGTTACACATTCAATGTGTCAGAATGCAAATAATTCTTTTCCGTAATGTAATTTAACAAAAATACGGACAGAAAAACATAGGTTAGCTGTTGGATAGAAATTAATTATCATTCGGATTCTGGCTAAAATTCCTATAGCATCACCACAAGAACAAACAGAACAAGGAGAAGCTTACTAAGTCTATGTAACTAGGCCCTGATTTAATAAATATATGTAGATTACCCCGTTCTGCTAACTCAATTTAAGGTCCAAATGAGCACATTACGTCCATCGCCCAAAAATATTTAAACGCCTGTGGGACATATAGTTATATGAGCCTTTTTCTGCTATGACAGCGACCCCAACCCAAACCTCATTTAATGCTCCAATTGGTGCAATATGTACAAACTCGTCCTCGTTTATTATTTATAGAACACCGCTAACTTCTCCCGTTATGCTTTATTATAACATACATTACCTGTGAATGTTGGAATGTAACAGTTTTCTAACTGTTCTAGAGAGCAATAGTCTTCTTCTCCTGATAAAACAAATATAGGAAATATAATTAGCATAAGGCTATATTTGGTGGACCTTTTGCCAATGATGCGTAGTATTGTACACGCGAAATGTTATATAAGGAGGTCTCATGATAATATTCAAGAATGTACCTCTACCCACAGTAAGAATATAAATATGCTCCCCAAAGCCACGTAGCCTAAATAAGCAAATAAACAATGACGTTCTCATTGTGTGTTCACCTTCAATCAGAACACGATGGCTTTGAATTGACAAGGTGTTGCTGGTTTATTCACATACAGTAACTGACAGTTTCTCGCATAACGCCACATTCGACTTGTTAATTAAATGAAACTATTTCAATAACAGATAATGAATAAAAACTACAACAGCCAGGGCCCTCTTTTAACACTATATTACCTGGACTAAAGAAATGTCTGCATTCACATTGATTAATTATATGACTAAGCACACAATTATAATGGCACGTATATCTGGTGTACGTGTAGTTCGCGAATCTCTTCACTGGTGTTTCAAATCCCTCCGCCTTCGTATTATAACAATATGATGTTCCAAAGGCTTTATATGGACTCCCCAATCCAATTCTCTACAAACACATAGACATAAATAATAATCCATCACTGTCACCGATGCCAATATTCTATTTTTATGGGAATTTCTGATCTTTCAGAAGATTCGAAACGTTTCAGTCCTTTGTTCATCTCTGAATCACTTAACCGTAAGGTCTGTCGGCAATTTAATTAAAATTATACCAACATTTAGTTATGTTTGATTTCTCGCGTGTTACTAATTTCATCTTAGGCTAAAGGCATTTCATTACAGGTTGCGTTCAGTATATAAGTAGACCAATTTGTTAACTAAATGCTAAATGAATAACTTTAAAGTGTGATATCGAAAAACAAAAAGATGTAACACTCTGATAATTAGTCGGCCATTGTTCCGGTGGTCAGAAAAGTGCTATGAGCTTTGAAATTTCCTATATGGCTTTCGATACAAGACTTAAACGCTAAAGCACATTCCGATAGTTCCTCACTTCCCATCACATAAAATGGATCTTTGTAGGAACTCAAGTACTTGATCGAATATTGAAATCCGAATCACCAAACTTGAAGAAAACGAAAAGACTCAAATTCAATGGCTCCCCTAATTGTCATCAAATAGTCTTGATCTTTGCAGGAATTCAAGTACTTGATGGCATATTAAAATCTGAATACCCGGACATGTAAAGAACGAAGGACTCATTCCAGCATTCTGTGAGGGTTGTTCATACCTCTTCTTTTCTGACTCCAAGAGCTGTGGAGGTCCCAGGTCTAACAAACAAACCGTGACTCGATAAATTGGGAGATTCATTCTGCTCATTCAACAAAACCTTGAAAATACATATACAAGAATATGGGTATATTTGAACTTTTCCTATCAAATCTAAGAAATAATTGATACACCGACTCTCATAAACCGACGTTTCCCCTTACACGTTTCTCCTTACACAGTTTATGAATATGTAGTAGATGTGGTTGTTATACTTGCTTATCCTTCTGAAACACCTCACACATACGACGATGCTGTCTGAAAGTCGTTGACTTGACATATTTCAGTGGTAAATTCCACACACTATACTATCACATTGATTTGTCATTATGTGTAAATGTTTAAAACAGAACCAAAAACGAGACGTAAAAAAAGTAGGTTTTCAAAGAGTTTAACCGAACGTTCATGCAAAATTCCGAACACACCGGGGTGGACTGGGGGCAGTGGAACAACTCGTGCGCACCATCGACCCCCGCTCCAAAACATGCCGTACTCCAGATAGATCAGTGTTTTGTTGTTCGATGTGTGCTTTCTTACCTCAATGCCAGACGGGGAGGTTGGGGAAAAGAATTAATCAAACAAGATACTTCCCGTGTGTGCTTTCTTACCTTAATGCCAGACTTGGATGTTGTGGAGAAGAAAGAAAAATTTTGCTGAATATCTAGGATGACACGCAGTCCAGTTCTAGATCCAGTGGTAGTCGTCGTTAATACATCAGAGGTGTTCCCATTAAAGCGGTAACACACTCCAACATCAGTTACCTCTCTTTTAAAAACCTCACTGCAGTCGATCCGACGTCCTCCCCACCAGCAAAACTTAAACATCTCCTGTAGGGTGTGGGCTGCAGCCATTGCAAAAGAATAAAGGTAGTCCCCAGAATGCTGGGTTACGAAAACTGGGTCTTCGTTTGAGTCATCCTTTGTGAAATTCAGATATTTTCCGATATGGGCAAATTCGCTGAGGTCATAAAGCAACTTCTGCAGTGGGGCATCGTCTGGCAGCCGGCTACGATGATACTGGTTAGTGTTACAAATGGTCACGGCCGGAAAAATCAACTCGTCGTTTAATTCAGCTTTTACAATCGTCATGGACGGATGTTCTTGATACCGTCGAAACTGGAGATATACTATACAACTCAGACTAATAGACATTGCCAGCAATAAAGTAATCCAAACGATCCTAAAAAAATTATTTTCAAACTTTTGTATCAATAAAACTTGAATCAAATGACATGGCCTGTATAACACAGTCAAGGAAAGGTTTTTGGGCGCTAGAATCGTACCGGGGTTGGGGGGGGGGGGGGGATTTATTGACGAATTTGTTTTCTTTGCATCATTTCAAAGATTGAAAAACAATTACTATACTGATAGATAAAATCATAATAATAATCATTAATTGCGCTTGTGAATCTTTAATTCTGGTTTGATTATGTAAATTTCCGTAGGAAAATAAATATATTCCAATATTTCGAATAACTTACCTTCTAAATTTATAAATCTGTGGAGCAGCAACTTTTGAAATTCCATGGATTGAAGCCGACTGACTGTACATATCCACCATATCCTTTGTACCTACAGATCTTGATATTTCCTCTTTTTCATCTTGATCTTTAGAATTCTCCATTTCTACGGCAAACTTCGTGGGTGATCACTTTTACTTCTATAGTTGCTAGCCAAAGGGAAACAATATAAAAGTCAAAGTTTGGAATCATAAAATTGAAAGTTTGGAAACAAGGCTAATAATATATCCGTCATGATCCATCAATATAATGATATCTTTCGTGAGAAATCGATTGTAAACCCCTAGGACGAATGAAATCATGTAAGAGCAAAACACCTGAGTGATCAAAACTAATTGTGTCGCTAAAAATAGAAACTTTACAATCTAAGCTATTACAATATCGCAAATGATCTATTCGACATCTTTCATAACAACACAAATCGACTGTAAATCCCCGCGAACAAATGGCACTGTCATTGCCGACGAATTGAATCAATTATTAATACTATTCAATATTCAAAAAAAGTAGGGGATATTTGATTTTTAAGTGTTATTAAAGTCACCTAATGAAACTGACGAAGAAACAAATGACAAAATGAAATGAAGTTCACATTCATCGATTTATTCCAAATGATCGTTAGACTAAGTAAGGCACAGACTGACCATTATAAGGGTAAAATGATACCCGGGGTCAAACAGCAAAGTTACCACAGCATCACAACCAAGTCAGTAACGGGTAAATCCTCCTCTGTTTGCCAAACAAGCATTGATTCGACGTGGCATACTCCTAATGAGACGTCTAAGGTCATTTTGGTCCAGATTGTCCCATTCCTGTTGCAACGCAGCAGCAAGTTCTTGGACATTGGCAGGACGTTGTTGACGTTGACGTAACCTCTGTCCAAGCATGTCCCAGACATGCTCGATGGGGGAGAGGTCGGGACTCAGTGCTGGCCAAGGTAATGTGATGATGTTCTGTTGTTGGAGGTAACCTGTAACGATCCTGGCCCTGTGACATCTTGCGTTGTCATCCTGGAAGATGAAACGGCGGCCATGACGTCGTGCGAACGGCACAACATGGACTGCCGAGATGTTGTCCCGGTAGTACTGGCCTGTAACACGCCCTGCAACAACATGTAAAGCCGTTCTTCCAGCAACAGTGATGCCTCCCCACACCATAACAGAACCACCCCCAAATCGATCATGTCTGATGACGTTAACGTCTTGGAAGCGTTCGTTTCGACGACGCCACACCCTCCTACGTCTGTCCAAAAAATCAACAGTGAACCTTGACTCATCTGAAAACATCACATTGCTCCAGCGTCGATTATCCCAGTGTTGACGATCCCTACACCAACGACGTCTTGCCTGAATGTGATGATCTCTCAAACAAGGGATCACGCGAGGACGTCGGGCGCGAAGGTGACCCCTATGCAGTCGATTCCGAATCGTTTGGCCACTCACTCTCACACCAGTGTCTGTTTGAAGACGAGCGCTGATCTGATTTGCTGTGATGACACGATTTCTCAAGGCCATTGTAACATTCAAAGTCAGAGTCGTGCAAATCTTGGGTTGGACCCCCATGATGATCCCAAGCATCACCTGCATTCCATGCGGTAGCTATTGGTGCGTTTGGGCGTCACATGTAACTGGAAATGTTTCTTCTGGTAGGTTCTATAGTGACTTTTTTCGTAGTCATTTGCATATTTTAGTATTATGCCCCCAAAATCAAATATCCCCTACTTTTTTTGAATAGTATATTACAACATTGATACTCACCATACTCAGTAGGTTTATTGCTCAATAGTTCAATGATATGTGTACGATCGGTACAACGTGCGGCGCCCGTGAGAGGGGTGGGGTAGCTGGGACACTTGTCCAGTCCCTCCAGGGGACCGGAGCCTATAGGGACCAGGAAGTACACCGAGTAATGTTGGTATAAATTAATAAAAACAATACACTATTACTTGATCGTAAAATAGAAGAAAACCGGTGACTTTTCTGAATGTGGTTACCTAGTGGCGTGTGTAGGATTAGAATTGGTTTTTGTCAGTTATTTTGGAAAAATTGGTAAATCAAAAACTATAGGTCACTGGACCAGCCTGTGCTTCTTCCGTTTGGGACCCTCTTTACCGCCAGGGTAATTGGGACCTAACGGTACCCCGGCCATTAGTACATGTATTTGGTATGTCATATGTTGTGTTAAATCTCAGTGTATTAGCAAAGTATCCCCCCCCCCACCATTATCCCAGATGTATGCCAAAATCACAACCTCGTGGGTTTTCTCCGATTTCCTCCCACTTCTAAAGACCCCTACGCGTAAGCGAATTATTGAAATAAAAATTCAACCATATGTTAGTCCCGATATGACCTAGTTTGTGTTGAGTGGACGTTAAACCCCATTTCTCTCTCACTGATTGTTGGATATGGCGGCCATTTAGGGCAGAGATCTATTCTTGAAGTAGAGTAGATAATTCTCTGCACAATGCTTGTTCCTGGGTCAAAAAACGTTTTAGTCTGTTTGTTTATAACAGATGTGAACCGGAGTAGGACTGCATTACAACACATTATACTATTGTTGGATATGGCGGCCATTTAGGGCAGATATCTATAAACAGTTGTGTTAAAACAACAAAGCTTGGGTGTGTTTTAATACACATGTAGGGTAGGTTGCCAGACAACTCAGACCAAAGACCACGCAGGACCAAGACCAGTTGGACCAACCAAAAGAACCTTGGCACCAGTTAATAAACCACTAGGACCACTAATTTGCTTCATAATTGAAATAAAAAAACTGCTCAATATAAAACTTTTGTTACAACTATACAATCTTGTGTCAAAAACCCCCACAAACATGTCTTAAATTTTACCAAATAACACAATGTTGAAGTTTGGGTGAAAATCAACACATGACACAGACAAATGTGAAGAAACAGGCAGCCCCCGGACATTGTTCCAATATCCGAGTACAGTAATATGTATTGTGTAACCTAACATATCACTTGAAACGAAATCGGAATGACCAGGTTCATCTCATAGAGTACAGGAAAGACAATGCCCGACCAGACAAAGTTGCCTCTGTCTAAGACCTTTCCCCTCTACCAACTAACCGGGAGGGGTCAATAAATGCGAGCTGAACTAAAAATGAGTAACACTATCTTAGTCATAACAGAGATCAATTTAGTAAATATAGGATTTATTTACATCAGGTATATATAACAGCTACAGTTACATACATTCAACGACATTTTGTGATATTACAGAATTTTTTTTGTTCTATAATAGGAACAAAGTGGTTTACAACATTACACATTAATTATTTAAATAAATCAATCAGTTTTTATTATTATTTTATTCTAACATTTACCAAACCGATATTTATGTTAATGGATACAATAATTGGTTAATTTTATTTCTGTGCCGTTTACAGTGCATTTAACATAATTATTTAATAATGGGTTTTCCTCTCAGGTTTATGTGCGGCTTAGTCCTGGAATAAAAAACAGTATTCCTGTAGGTGTTGTCCACTAGCCCATCTCTAGTCTATGCGCGGCTTAATCGTGGATCAAACAGTATTCTTGTGGGTGTTGCCCCCTTGTCTATCTCTGGTTTATACGTGGCTTATTCGTGAATCAAACAGTATCCCTGTAGCCCGTTTTTATTCTATGCGAGACCAATTCGGGGAACAAATATCACGGATAGGGGTGACATAGGGGCAAGTTTATTAACTTTATAACTTTGCAAATTAGATGCTAAAACAATTTAAATTGTTTGAATGAAATATATTTGGATATAAATATTCCTATTTAGTGTAGATTTGTGCTTGTAAAAAGTTTATTTTAGAGGGAATATTTGGTATTTTCTAGGCTAGAGTGTCGGTGACAAAAGTGTGATTTGTGAAGTAAATGGTATATTTTCTACTGTTTCGGCAGAAACATTTCAGGTAATTTTGTCACAAGAATGGGAAATGAAATGAAATGGGGTTTAACGTCCTACTGTTCTGCTCCTATACTGGGCTAATGAAGACGGGCATATGCCATACAGTGTGCTATGAGGGAAATTTTGCCTGGGCAGTGGCACTATCGCCAACTCTTATATCGAATTCCAACTGCCAAGGGATCTTTTACATCCATTCCAATGTATACACGGGACCTCGGTTTTTCGTATCACCCGAAGGACTAGACAGCTGTCCTTGTCAGGCGCTCCGTTCTGCACGACTGACAAGGGGAAACCACGTCGGAAAATCTTTCTCGTCCAATGCAGGGATCGAACACCCGACTTCCAGGCTAGCAAGCCAGCGTCTTAACCACCTAGCCATCGTGGCCCCCACAAGAATGGGATATTGATCGGTTACTTATCTTAACTCGTGTTAATAAAATATATTATTTAACAATTAGCTAATTGTTCTTACGTCACGGCTAATAGAATATAACAAAAGTTATACATAAATATTTAAGTACCTTTCAAAGTAGACGCGGGTGACAATTTTCGTTAAAAAATCATTTCAATGTTAACGAAAAAAATGAAGAAAATATCAGTCATAACAAAAATACAAAAGAACGTATCAATAAGAAAAGCATCGTAAACACTCAAGGTCGTCACATTAGATTTAATGTACACAATATA